TTATCCGTTATGACAATAAGTTCATAACCTAGACCGATAACGGTAATGTGATATTTAATTCATTAATGTTTTATAGTGCTGGTTTAATCGCCTATTATCAATTAATGTAATCAATAGTTTGTGAGCTATGTATTTATTTATGTGTGTGTGTGTTTTGCTACTTAAAAAACTATAAAGCCTGTGTATGTATATGTAGATAGCTAATGTGCATGTATAAAACTCACGCGATTAGAATCCACTCCCACACACCATTACAGTATAGTTCAGTAGTCCCTCTAATCCAGTTTTTACAGACTCCCCATATAGCTATAGGGTTTAAATATAGTAGCTATATACATTTTACATACATATACATACTATGTGGTATGTTATAATCATGCATCATAGTGATCATACATGCAGTACCACTATCAATTATAAATAACATTGTGGCAATGATATCGGGAGCAGTAGCGATCCAATCTACATGAAGCCAATCCAAAGGTTGTCATTGTTTCCCGAGAGAGCATCATACACCAACTACGTGTTTCATTAAAATAACTGTTTCAAATAGGACAATATTGCTATAATACATATTTATGTCCATGATGGACATGACAAAACTACAGAAACAAGGTTATTATAAATTGTAATTTTAAAAGAGGGGAATAGGAATCTTCAAAAAATACAGAAACAAGATAGGTTGCTTAAAGTGAAAATGCAATCGCCAATAACGTAAACAAACAAGCTTAAGATTTGAGACAGTGTTGACATTATTTCCTCAAGTTACAAATCCCTATTTTGACTCCATGTCTAAAAGCTGCAATATGTAGTTGTTGTTTTTTACTATAAAGACCTACAAGTCCCTAAAAGCAAGGTGTAGAATCAAATGTATCTATTCCTAGTTGTTAACAGTTTTTATGACAAAGGAAAAAAGGGCACTTTTGAGGCAAAAGAGCAGAAAGGCAAGAGCTTCAAATAGTTTTTAACTACATGTCATATTAACTTTATATCCCATATGGGAATGCACACTTTAAACAGAAATTCCGTTAATCTCTTGAAACTATTAATTAAAGCTGTTTCAGCCGTTCCAGTTTCAAAAGGAAATTATCTATCCTAATTTAAAGTGTCAAAAACAACAAAGTCAGGTGATACCATATGTATGTGTTTATCACTCATGACTGTTACACTCGCTTAATTGTGATTCCTCAATGACAACTTGATATTGAATGTCTTTCTGTCCACGCTAAGATCTAAAGGTAGTCGTCTCCTTCAATATGGGACTAAACACGTTATATAAATATTTTACACAAATATGTACGTGTGTAAAATATGTAGAATTTTTCCTATTTTTACATTAATTTCCTTAACATGGTATACAACTAATAAGTTAGATTTAAAAATGTCATTTTCACATAAATATACGGGTCTTAAAGTTATTCGTTTTATAGTTATTGCTACATTATTGTATCTCCTCTAATGCATCGTACTATTTTCGAACAGTTTATATGCTTAAAGTAAAGCTTTCAATACATATTCTAAATCTGTCTTTAAAATGCATAGAATAGAATATAATGTTTCTTCCTGTAAGCGAAAGTAATCGAAACATCTGGAAACACGGTCGTTTACTTAAGCATCATACTACAGCAAATATTTATTTTCGTTTAAGAATATCCCAAAGTAACAAAACATTTCCGATTCAGGGAAACATGGTATTTCATTAAATACGTCTGAAGCAACGAAATGCTTTTCTGATTCAGAAAAGACAAAGCGTTTCAGGAAACATATCAGCTTAGTATTTTCCCTACAAGAACAGGTTGTTTTTGACATAAGGTTCCACACGTGATGAGAAGGAAACCCGTACATCTGACGTCTGCAGCTGGTAAACCGTAGTGGGATTTATCTGTAAATCCTGAACGATATACATATTAAATCAAATGGGGTTCAGACACTGCCACAATCCCTATTATAAACGTAATTAGAATCATGCATTTATACCATCGTAATGTTAGGAAAATACGTAGTTTCGAGAAATCAATTTAACACAATACAAAACTCTGTAACCCGAACGCTTTTGAAAGGCGGACTTTTCTTTATCAGGGGCAAAATGGGACGCCCAGTTTGCCCCTCGTGAAGAAAGGTCCAAACTTCACAATCACTCAGGTTATAGGGTTTTGTATTTTTATACACTGATAACGAATATCTTTCTAGATAGACAGCGTCAAGTTTGGTGAAAACGTGACTCGCCATATTGATAATTTCATAACTATGTTATCTTTATTTCTACCGATAACATATTTTGATTTTATAACTATTAGTTTTATAATGAATTTTCGATTTCTATAATATTAGACGTATGAATATTTACCCATGTAGTGCAGAAAGACCACCACAAAATAACGATATTTCTTTACTTCTCATACAAGTCACATACAGCTGTATTTGTTGTAGCCACTTGCGTATAACACACACAACTGTAGTTTACATATACATATCAGTAACAGAGAACACAATTTCTTTTAAATTCTGAGCATACAACAAAAGAAAAATACTCTTTACGGCTGTCTTCCAAGGTTCCTATAAATGTTGGGCAGGCATCGAAGCTAAGAGAAAATAGTTCCTTACACACGCACACTATGTGTTGGCCACAATGCAAACATAACAGTGGATTGAGTTAAATGTAATGTAGGAAGATAAAAACAATCTACAATGGTAATCATGTTGTTTCAATAGTGAACAATTATTTTACTAACAGGTGATATAGCGTTAATCATTTGGCTCAGATGATAGTGTGCGACTGCTACAGCGAGAAATAAACGGTTTGACTCTGCGACAAGCAAAAAAGGTTGGTTACAAGAAGAAAAATGGGTTCCTCCCGGTTGAAAGCTAACTATCTGTGATATTTCTATTTATAGCATGTTCTGGACTACCTCGCAAAGTAAGAACTACAGGGTTAACCCCAAAGCAACTACTAATAAGGCATATTTTACCAACTCGAAACATACGTCTCAAAATCTTTCAGGTTCATAATCTTTCCACGTTTCAAAAATGATCGTTTGTTCCTGGCTATGATATTTTGGTGTTTTCAACAAGGATATTTTTCAAACAGAAAGATCTATAAATTGAACAGCATGGTCGAACATTTGCATTTGTAAAAATAATGTTCTTGAATTCTGAATAATGAAACCACAAATTTTATCTGCTGAGAATTACTTCTGGTATTTATCTCAAATACAATATTACTTGACTCTGCGCCAAGATTTAAAGTAAATCAGAAAATGTGGAGTTAGTTCCATTAATTCGCCTGTGCCAACTTTTAACTAAGTACTATGTTAACACATTTCGAATAAAGATACATCATCATATACGTCGCTAGATTTAGGATGATTTTCATTCCCTTTAATCAACAACACGCTTTTTTAATACTGAAGTCTTTATACGGTTGCATTTTAGGACACATCAAGTCATACAGCAATCATTTCTGATTTGATGCAAACACTCTTTAAAGCTTTTAAAAACAACATATACATTTACTCGGAATAACTGTGTCCACTTAGGAAACTTGTCAAAACACATTCTAGTAAGAAAATAAATGAGAAATGCGTCATTTCAAACACATTTTTAGTCACAAGAAAAAAATGAAGTTTGGAAATAATAAAGATTATTATCCATCTATGTGCATGGTTTTTCAAAAGTTTTACATTTTGAGTTGTTTTAAACTCTTGGGGACTTTATTTCCAGATTTTAAATTAACCTTTACTCTGATCCTAGGAAAAAGGCGTGACAGCACAACCGTCAAAGAAGGCAATTTATGTTGAAAGCACGTGTAATGTCAAACAGATTCCATTTTCTCAGTATGCTTTCTATGCAATTCTTTTATCAGTTAACAAGCAGGTACGTAGTTCCCAAAACAATTCTAAAACCACCGTACTGACTAGCGATGCACAAGGTAAGTTAATGGTTATATCTTTGGTTTTGGTCTATCATTTTATGAAAAATTTGACGTGTGATGTGGTTTCACAAAAAATTTTGTAAAGATACACTTAAAATATTAAAAGTTATTAGTATGTAAGCTATAACGAGGTTATGGTTACGAGGTCGGTCCCAGGGACCGAGCCCGTGTGGAAAGAGTTTTAATGACCCATCGCGTTATATCCGAATTCGCGTTAAATCGGGGCTTCACTGTATTTTAATATAAAAACTAGAGGGGCACTCTGTAGAGCGCATATCTCCGCCACACAGCATTGATCATATTCGGATCTCAAAATAAAATACGAAAAGGTGTTCGTATGTTCGTCGTTATCAACGAACACTGGCCATCTTTGGCAGGACAATGAGGAATAACAATCTAAAAAGGTTCACCGAGTTTCACTACAATCCGATCATTTTTTACTGAGTTATAGAGAAAAAATAGTGTGAAAAATCGGTCCCTATGTTAACCCTCCAAAACTAATCACTTGTAAGTTGAGTCATAGTTCAAATGTGTATAAATTTGGTCCAAATCCATTCAGCCGTTTTCGAGAAATCTTGCTGACAAAATACACACAAAGGTGAAAACACAGCCTCCGTAGTGCACTGAATCTTAAACACTTCACACAAGTTTTCCGAGTCTGCTTGCAATGTATGTTCACGAGAAAAATCATGTATAATATAGCTTCAATCATATCTTAACCAAGTGATTTCCTGACAAAACAAATATACTTCAAAAAATCAGCACTATTTTTAAGCAGTGTCTCCTCACGACATTGGCTAAGATTACCATTACAGAGTAATGAATATAAAAATAAGATTTTATAAAACATGTTTGTAAACTCCGCAGAAATACAATAACAAACCGATTCAGCCATCACTTATATCTTCGTATAAAAACAATATTTTAACCTAATTATTAAATATTTCCAGAATTTTTCTTTCACTATGTTACACAATGAATATTAAATTAATAACAATGGAACTGTATCCGTTTTTGACAACTGTCCTACACAAATACAAGAAAAATAGCAAAACATAATGTAACTTACGGGTATCTTGCGACTGTTCCTTAAAGATCCTGTGTTGTCCAAACGTAAAGCCATACCTTCACTTATTATCTAACAAGCTTGGATACCATAAAGTATAAATTCTTATTTCATCAAAAAAACTGTGTGACGCTTGATACAACACCAGCTTCGTACACTAACTATAAGGGTAGGTAGGTAATAATTTTTTTCCTTCTTATAAGAATCTAACTCAAGGCACAAGCACAACAGAAAATCACAAAATGGGGAAGCACTTCGTTGACAGAGATTCTGGAAATAGATGATCGTTTGTATATACACGTGAAAAATAAAGTCAGATAGAGACTATGCTGTCTCTACATTTTCTTCGTGTTTTTCCGCACTCAGACACAGGCGTGGTTTAACAGTTTCTGTGAGTGAAGCCTACTTACTCACAAAAACTACCGATGCTAGTATTTTGCATAGTCTTCTGTGAAGCAAGATTCCAAATACGGCGATTAACGTTTAAATAAAGACTGTAGTAAAAATGAGGTAGATATTAAAAGATTCAAATGCAAGTATATGAAGTTAAATTAAGTCATACGACAGTGTAGTTTACTAACACGATAGATGATTTCGAGGCCTTGAGCCTGAAGACCCTTTCATGTCAAACAACAGCGCCCCCGGTAACGGGTGGACTCTGCCTGCAAAACTGAGCACGTGATCATCAACACACAGTGAACAAGCGAGTAATATGACACATCATACGCCATACTAGTGCACTGAAAGTAGTTCGGCAAGTTCAGGATATCAGCCGATTCTGGTCACGTGAAACTTCCACCTATACATCCGGGCCACATTTGTAATTGGTCTTATCACTCACAAAATAATAGTCTATTTTTGCTTATTACCTTTTTTTTTCTCTAAATATGGTTAAATTACACAATTATTCTTTAACATTCACTTTTATACATATAGTTAAATGTAGTTACGTTTCATGTTGTGTGCACACGTGTTTGGGGATATATTAGTAAAAAATTCACTGACATGCATACTATTTTACGGCCAGTAAATAGCACAAGAGAAAAAAACGCATAATTTCCATTCAACAAGCGAATTTATCGATTATTCACATACACCTTTTTCATCACATTTTAATTAACAAGCGATTTTATTAATTTCATTATTCTAGATCCAAGTAACCATTCAATACAAATTCTTTTTACTAAACAAAATATTTGCCAAGACCTTCGAAACAAAAAGCTGAATCAACAGAAATGAACTACATATACCTTTCACTACAAGGTATCTTTTGATCATGATCTACTGAGGCTGTACCGGCTTTAACTTGTTTTACCAATGCATAAGGTATTAGTCGATGTCACACGTATGAGAAAATGAATATGTAACCAAATTATACACATGTATAAAACACACGTGATAATATGTGACTGTATTATAAAGCAATGTACCTTTCATAAAAGTGAAAAATTTTAGTTTCAATATACTTAAGTTTGTAAAGTGTGAAACACGTATAAAACTAACTTAAAGAGAGAGAAAAAAAGAGAGAGAGAGAGTATATATTAATTACGGATTCTAATGCCGTTTACCGTTGACAGCTGTATATGTATTATTTAAAGGCTGTCTTTGGTATTGTTATGGTGTGAACGCCTTTACTAAGTAGGCGAAACATGAATATATATATAATTAATTATCCTTTCTGAAATATCATAATAATGTCTTATGACAACCGTAATTGTCTTTGGTGTTGTTGAAGTTCCGCCAGGTTTATCTAAGAAAATCTGAGCTATGGACCTTTGCAGGATGATATAAAACATTTCTTTAGCCATATTAAACCAACTTGTAAAACTATCCTCCCCCTAACGTTTTATACGTGTGACTGTTTGTTTTGTTATTTTATCAACAAAAGCCAGGTCCATTTCACTGAACACTGCCAGTATCACACTATGCATATTAAGATTTGAGTAATAAATCATACTCAAAAACTTTAAATAAAGGCTATTAAAGTTTTAACTACTCATAATATACTATAATATGATTAACACAACTGAAAGAAATGACGCCATTTCCCTTTTGACAGAGGATCAACCACTCCACACTAGTGTGTCACTGAAACGTAACCACAGTTTTATTTCAAACTAGCAGAGACCAGCAAAGCATTTGCGGCCAAATTAATATCTTTATTATAGTACTTCTTTAAATACAGGATTTCTAGAATAATACAAAAATAAATCTAATCACAGACAATGAAATCTACAAGTCCACATGTCTTAGTCCTAACATTAGTTAAGCCTTTATTAAGTACGGCCTATATTCGATAAAGAGCTAAATTAACACTGTAACTAGGGGAACGTTTTTTGTTTTAGTTCAGTTAGGGCTAAACCTTACCACACTTAATACTATCAAAAAATAATCTTCTAATATTATTCTACGACCTAAAGTTATACCTTTATAAAAAAAAAACTTTGATATGATTTTAATATGTTGTATAAAATGTCTACTAAAGTATATTTACGTCCATTCTGGCGTAACTCGACGATTTAACAAAGATACGTTTTCAAATTGCGAAAAAGGTGTAACTTTTTGTATATTTTATTCCAAATACATCCTTAATTTTCGATCAATCGTAGGCTACTCGCTTCTAATTGACAGGAAGCCAAACTACTTAAATTACGTAATAAGTTGCTTTGACATCAATGTGTGTGACCGAGAGACAGACAGATACATACTTTTATAGAATCAGAAGATCTGCAACACAAACTGCACTATCTAAATTAAATAACAGAAATGGAGGTTAAGTTAAATTAACTACCTAGGTGTACTACACTATTTACGATGCAACAAATATTAGTGTGCACGTGACAGTAACCAAAAAAATCAAACTGAATTTTCATTCCAAATGCAGTTCAGATAAGAATTACTGTGCATTTTGTAAATTTGGTTATATTTTTTATTATACACACTACATCATTCAAAAACTTCTTTGACACTCGTCAATATACCACATATATTTATCTTTTTTGTATTAACTAAATTTTTAGCTCATTTAAGTACGTCTGAAGCTACACACATATTTTGGACTTAAAACTGTAAATAGTATTTATTCAACTGTTACTCCCATGCAAGCAATAACACAACTGACCAATGAAATTAATTTTATCAATAAAGTTCCAAAAACAAAAAACGACCCTCACTCTCCAGATAATAATAAAAGCACTTTTTAATGTACTCTTATCATTATGTTTCCCTGGTAACCTCTAATTTCTTCAAAGCCTATGTTATGTAAGAACAGTTCTTGTACTGCTAGTCCTGACGAAGCCAAAATGGACAAATGTTTGCTGAATTATTTTTATTATTATTATTATTTAGGGAGTAACGGTTGTTGTTTTTTCTAACTATATTGAAAAAATCTCTAAATCTATCCAGTATACAATACAAATTCTGAGAGACAATAAAATTAATAAATTTTGAATAGCTAACAAGCGATTACTTCATATATGTTTCAGAATACAATCAATTTTCTCTGACATCCGATGACAGTGATACAGCAAAGAATGCTAATTATCAAGTTTTTTTGTTTAATATTGTACAACGTGGTCTATGAGCGTATTACATTACATTGAAAGTACATAATACAAGCACTTAGAAACAGAATTCCTCCCTGAAGAAAGTTATCACTTGCATATTATGATTGTTTGTCACAAGCAATAATGCAATCCACCGGACAACGAGGGATCTGAAATACGTTACCCAAGCACATATTTCAAGATCATAAACGAAACATCAATACATCGCGATTTCTGGCACTATTATCACCATACAAGTGATCTCTTCAATTGTATGTTCAATTATACTGCCAGTAAATTTCAGTTTGGATCAAAGTTTATGTAGTTTACATATGTACATTTCAATTACTTTTGAATAATCTCACATCATTATCTAATGCAAAACACATATTATGAAGTCCAATTGCTTAAATATCTTCAAAACAGTCATCACATTACGTTACAAACGACCAGTTAATCATACCCCGATAACCAAGACAGATCTCCCATCAATGTCAATAATATAATACTCGAAGGTTCGACAATAAATCACTATATTTAGGTATCCTTTATTAGCACATTAAGGGAAACAATAGGTACTAGTTAAGTGCGAGGTTTATGACTGGTATATTAACACACCTTCTCATTTTGTTTCCCTAGTAATATCCAACTTCTTCACGACCCATGTTTTTTAATGTTTTCTTAACATGACCATTTGCTAAAAGTTAGTTAAGCAAATTCTCTGTATTTTCTAGATTGCTTTTATTTTTTGGTCAGATAAAAATCTATGATAAAACATTTCACAAGCCTATAAAGAATCTAAACAATAAGCTGTACGTTCATAAGTAAATATAAATTCAAAACATAAATATATTAAAGTTTGATAGCTTATACAGCGATACTGATTATTTGAAATATTGCTTTCTAACTACTGATCACGGAATTACGAAGTCAGCACTAACTAGTTAGAAAGAAAGTATTTGGTTTCATTGCATATCGTTATATACAGATTTTACCTCAAAATATTCGCGCAACGTTACACGTGCGCACAGTTATACCTGATTTTGACTGATAGATTTGAGAGAAAGCAGCTAGCCTACAGCATCCACACCCAACTATTGGGTTACTCCTACCTGACCATAAAAGGGATGCGGACATCACTCTTTATAGCGCGAGTACGACCACAAGGTGTGAAACATGTTTTTGCAGCAACGGGACACGAGTCATGAACCTTGGCTTAACAACGTTGGATATCCTAATATCTTACATTATTTTTGTTACAATGTTTCTTACATTATTTTGAACTGTTCACACAGTTTGTAATTCTCTTTATCTATTGTCCACACACGACTTAACACAGCATCTAATAAACAACAAAACACAAAGGCGTTGTTAAAATTGTTCCATTTGCGAAATAATGTAATAAACTAAATTTTCATAGATATGACCATTAAAAGCTACGACTGCGCAAACATTAAATACATATATATTACAGCGCAGTGAATCATATGTAAATTCGATCTTTCTTGTTCTACGTTAGCAGTATTCGACTAACATAAACCAACAACATTTTTTAAAACTCGGAATCCTTAGATAATATGGGCGTGTACGATCGTAATTGCGTTATTTTTACACAGGCCATCACAGCAATTAATTAATTAACTCGCTGCATATAATCTTGTAAATACCTAACTGTATTTGTATAAGTCACTTGCACTAAACACCATACTTAACCATTAACATGACAGTGGACGCTTAGTTTATATTTTTACGTCTAATCAAACTATAAAAGTATTTACACAAAATTATTTCCTACTGCAGACAACATGCTTCCGGAGTGAAATTATTTGACAAAAGAATATATTGTGATAGATTTATCATTATATTTTGTTTTGTTTGTTTGATGTTAACCACAAATCTACACAATGGGCTATCTGTGCTCTGCCCACCACGGTTATCGAAACCCGGTTTCTAGCGTTGCATGCCACTGTACCACTGGGGACGCTACATACTATTATATATCTATTTTAATATCGACGTTTGTTTAAGTTAAATTTATATTTAAAAATGTAAATAACTTGTACTGTTAAATCTGTATTGCCTATTCTC